CCCTTAAAAGTCATACTCAATAGTCAAAGAGTCAAGTCCCGACATCGGCCACCGGTTGATGTCGGATTTGACATTGGATGTTGGGATATCCACCCATGTTTGATGAGTACATTTCTGGTTCAGGCATTTCCCTGGAGAGTCTTGAAAGCCATTCGCCCCTTCAGAAAATAGACCCTCACACCGATGAATCGATCCGAGAAATGGTAGATTTGTTGAGGGCAAGGCAACCGCACACCAACAAAAACAACGTTCAAGAGGTTACAGCAGGTTCTGGGGCTGAAGTTCGAGCGGGAATCCTTGTTGTTTCAAGATGACTTGGCACATTTTGTGAAAGCAGTGACACATGTCATTTGAGACCTTCAGGGCTAGCTGATCTAGAGCTTGGTCTTTTTGCAGAGGCCATGGTTCGTCAATGTGGCATTTCCATACAGCAGCTAGATGATTTTGTGTCTCAGTTTCAAGGCTGCCTGTAAGCTTGAAAGGGGCTTTGTCCAGAAACGGCTGAAGGGTGATGGGACACCATTCAAAGGGTTCGCAGGAGAACTTCTGGCATGTTTTCCTCTTGCAAGTTTTCTCAGACATGGTTCTTGTTCCTGCAGGCCTTCTCGGACCTCATGTCTCGTGTTTCAACAAATTTTGCACAATCGTTGACGTGATGAAGATGGGGGATGAAACGGTGAAGCTTGCTGCAAACCATAGAGGAACACCACAGTTTGTTTACTGGGATCTATGGCGCAAAGAATGCAATCCCCAAGATGCACTGTACACTGCATTTGGTACGCGTGTTGGACAGGCTACAGGTCAATTTGAGTTGTTTCCCCACAGAGCGGAAACATCGACTATGCAAAGCAATCGGATCAAGAGTTTTTGCAAACTTTGAGAAAACCCTGTTGCAAGATGTAATTCTACCGACGTTTGATGAATACATTTCTGGTTCAGGCATTTCCCTGGAGAGTCTTGGAAAGATTTGCTTCAAGCTTTTGGTGCGGTTTTTCCAGACATGTCGGAAATCGTGGGCAGTGCTTCTGCAACACTTGCGATTGGAAAAATTTCCAGAAGAGATTTGGTGCTCTTTCACTTGGAGAAATTCCATGTGGGGAAAGGTGATATGTTTTTTCAAGATCATCCGTGCAGGCCATGACAAACCAGTTTTCATGGCACATGTACAGTTTTTTGAAGAAATTGGCAAGGCCAAATGGCAACCCACAGAACAAAACATGTTGATCCCCTCATCCACATTGAAGAATGTTATATTCCATTCATTAAGAAGGGGACATAAATCCCTGTCCTAACCCCCAAGCTAGTTCAAGGAGGGAATCCCACCAATGCATCAACTCCGGGGTAACACACAGAAACTCTCAACTTCCATATTGGAATTCATGATGAAAGAGACACACACATCAACATTTGCATACAAACAAAAGTTTCAACGGTTTGCGCGGTTTGAGTTCTTGTGAGATGGGAGACATAGAACATAGAAAAGTAGCAACATAGAAGCAGGAACACCAAGCACAAACATCAAATCTGTGCCTGCAAGGCATCACGATTGTCAAAATATACGACCCTCGGGTGACTAAGGAGCTAACGGAGGTGCATACCAATTTTAGCATCCTTACTCATCAGCCACCTACTGCTTCGCAAATTTGCTGCAAATCCTTACTCATCACCCAAAACATAACGAAAATGACCAAAATTTGAGCATGCCTGAACAGTTCCTAAAGGATCATGTTTTCGTGGTTTCACAATGCCCACTCGAGTTAGGAGTGGTGGTCCAAATGAGAAGACAAGTGTCAGATTTGTGTGCAGGCATGCTTGTAGGGTGGTCTTGAGTTGACGTGGTTTGAATGATGCTGCCCGCGGCCGGCTACATCATCAGCATTTTTTAGGCTGAAAAACAGATATATTAAATATATCTGGCTTTTAAGTGAAAAAGAGAGCCTGGTCCGGCCAATTCCGGCCAAACAGATCAAAAAGGCCAATCGAGATGGCAGCTCACGGTTGGAGAACAGAACTAGGAGTGTACCAGATTTCATGGCTGGCGCAGGGCCTGGTGACAAAACCGATTGTTTTGTGGAGTGGTCAGTTAGGAGTTGCGGGCTACTATGATGGCCGCTGCCGCTTACATGACTTATAAGTCAACCTAGCTCCGGCAGTGTTCCGTGAACTTATAAGTGATTTAGCTTTGACTTAGCCACGCCGGGCCAACTCACTTATAACTCACTTAGCCGCGCCTGGCTAAGTGACATATAAGTTCCCAGAAGGGACCATTTTTTGGAACTGAAAATTTCTTTTGGGTCCTGGAAATTATCTGGGTTCGGGGCCCGAATCTTCCAAAATCGAGGCCCGATATCTCCTGCTTGAAAGGTTGCACCGATTGGCGAGACATGGGTGGGAACTGTCATGCTGACATGTTGTCATGCTGGCAAGCTGACAGGGTCAGACACTAAAATGCTCACACGGTGAGATGCTGACGTCGGGTCATGCTGTCGTGCTGGCATGCCGGCAGGCTCTAAAGTGGGTTCCCTGGTTCTTCTTTGTTGCGGCGTTGTCATGCTTGCACACATGTGGGCATGTCCGGTGAATTTGTGATGGTGCCATTGCCCAAAAGGACCCAAAAGGATCCAAAAGGCGTTTTCATGGCCAACTGTTGGAAGGAACGGCTGGCATATGCACAGCTGGAAAATTGCCAGCGTGTGCAAATTGTTGAACCCTATGTGATGCGGCTCCCGTGATCGAGAGAAATCAGAGTTTCACACCAACACATTGGAAGAAGGGTGTCGGGGTTTAAATGTTGATTTGGATTACATCATATTTGCCATATTTGATGGATGTTTTGGATGAACACACGCGGCACGAACGGACATGTGAAGAGAAAAACGCCTCGGATGTTTGATTGGAGTCCCTCCGTTTCTATTAAAGGCCCCTTTGCAGGACAAAGGTTCAAAGTTCTTCGGCAAAAAAACCTAACGGAATCCCAAAACCAAGGTGAGCAAACACCAATCTCTGTGTGTGGGCGGCACGTATTTCTACATATGTATATATATATATAAAGTCTTCTATATCAAAAAATCCAGGAAAAACTTCGTGACATTACAGCTGACAACACCTGACTACAACTGACAACACAATACAGAGCCAATGCGGCCAATGGTTCCGAAGGCGACAAAACGGACCCCCCCACCAACAAGAACTTCCACAAGACACTGAAAACTATAAAAAATGTATATTATACATTAGACACCCCCCCCTTAATATACATTATTAAGGGGGGCCCTCGCATATATATATATATACAGATATATATATAGTCATCATGGGGGTTTGTTTCAGGGCCTCCGTAAAGCCCCTGGAGGATTTGCAGGGTGCTTGAAGGATTCGAAGAGGGCAACAAAACCAATGGTGAATCAGTTAGTTTGCGCTGCACAAAGCAAGCTTCTGAGAGGCCGACCATCGGTCTTCGAGGGTCTCGAGCTGATTTCAGCAGTGCCTGGATGTGTTTCGGACCCAAGGGATGCATGTCGATGCATGGTAGATTCCCTAGCTACAGCGCCCCAAGATGTGGATGGGTTGAAAGCCACAACCCTGTCGGCATGCTCAAAATAAGCAGAATCTACGACCATAATCTACCTGGTGGATGTTCAAATATTCACCTAATGACATCGTGCAGTGCAACTAGAGAGAGTGATCAAGATCCAGCAATCTAGCTATTCCTTGCAAGGACTTACGGACTCAGCGTTTGGAACAAGCCCAAAGGTTTGTTGGCCAATTATAGTGCCATTGGTCATTTTCAGAATCATGACAAGTGCGCTGCTCTTTTACGACAGGGGCAACATTCACTCCTGCATCTGTCGCATCATCGGCACACAGCAGCACTTGGCTCCCATGCAGAAAGCCACACGTTCTGCACCGTCTTTGGGGGGCTGCAAAATGCAAATCGAGTGATGATACACTCCCTGAAACAATCATGGATGGCATAGCCCCTACAAGGGTGGTCTGCTCTCAGCTTTCACAATGGTTCTTTGCTGTTTTTTGGGAGGGTCGGGAATAAGCAACTCAAACTGTTGAGGAACAAACAACACACCCTAGGCCCTGGATGTTACATCTCACCAGTCCAGCTCGCGAACCTTTTCTCGTTGTCAAAATTCGGTGATCGTACTGACCGGATCTTTCAGTCATCGTACTGACCTACCGACTGACGTCTCGACCCCCGCGCTTCTCATTTGATGGACCCGACGGTCTCGACCCCCCGACGTCGCTCTCCGCGGCGCTGTCGCCTCTCCGCGGCGAGACGAGACGACTCGCGTTCGCGCGCCTTCTCAAAGTGATCGATGTGGTCATCCTCTCGCAACAACGCCCTGAGGTCTTCGGCACCAAACGATGAGACGTCGCTGTTGCAGACCAAACCGCCGTTGTGAAGGTTCGAGATGTGAAAGCTGGAGACTGGTCTTCGGAAGAGATACGAATTGTGACCATAAAACCACGACTAAACAAAAATCACTGGGCCAGCTGGTCTTCCAAGGTACACGCAGTCACTGCACTTGCACGAATGACGATGGATAACGGTTAAACGTTCCTAAAATGAACATATGCGAACAACCATATGTTATTCTAGATATTTCTATAGGTATTTTTTCTCATCAACTGAGTATAAAGAACAAACATGAACAAACATTGCCGCAAAAAGTGCAGAACTGCCGATAAATTCCGATGATCATGTTTTCATCATGGAGGGGCCGCAGCGAGACGGCTGTTGAGACCCTCTAAAAATTTTCCTTTTAGAAGGCCCATAGCCCTTGTCCAAAATGGTTCCGAAAAGTGAAGCAAAAAATAGAAAAACACACCATAGGAAAAGTGTCGCCCACATCAACCCGTATGTGGGTGTGTATCACCAACATCTGCAAGGCAACCCCCGACCAAGGGTTGCAGGGCAAACCGTCATTCAACGCCTTGGAGCCCCCCTCAAAAAATGAGACCTTCCTGGATTGGTGGCCAAAATGATCTGCTTACTTAGAATCGGGTGTGGTTGACATTGCTTTGCTTATGTTGAACAGCTCTTTCTGGAGGAAAAGAAAGAGTCTTCCTATTGGAGTCTACCGTCCAATTCCGCATTCAGTGAGCCAGACAATCCTAGTAGCCTTCTTGAGGCAAAACCTGAGGAGTTGAGCCACGCGTCCTCTGCCAATTTTTTTTCAGCCATATTACTCCCAAATCTGAACGGCCCCTGGAAGCAAAGTAGCACGCAGCATGCATTTGAATGGGCAGGCCCAATGGGTAGACTGGTATATTTTCCGATAGTTCCAAGGGGTCGAGTTGGGAGGCCTCCCTAATTTAATGCACGCCCACATGTTGTGCACAGCCACTGGTGAATCCAACATCTAAAGATTAGTAGAAACCTATCACGCCCCAAGATTATTCCTTGGATGATCTGCCAGGAACCGGATGAAGAAAAATCTTCCCCCAAAGAGGGTTCATCCATAGGGAAACCCAACATTAACCGCCCCACTCGGATTCAACGCTCCCACCGACGCTCTACGGGCCCCGGACGAGGCCGGCTGGAGTGGCAGCCAGACTTGGTAGAGGCTGCCAGCACACCTGAGACGTTGAAGCATCAGGTCATACAGTGAAGCCAATAGATGGCTGTCGGGAACTGGCACCAAGAGACCAGTTTCGGGACCAGTTTCGGGCACGACTTACCTAGAAGATCTGGTCGCTTCATCGCTACATGGTGGACGACCATCGGGATAGGATGTTGGTCACGACCGATCTCCAAATAGCAGTCATGGTGGCATAAATCTGGCGAAGGTCCAGTTCTTCATTTTCTGATATGAACTCTTGGCGGCTGAAGTCTGAGTTGAAGAATCTCCATCCCGAATCAACGGTCAGTTCAGTCATGCGTGTCATATGGATATGGATGCAAGGACAGTACATTCCGGCACCCAAAGCACCAGGCCGAAGATGGAGAACAGTCCCAAACCAACCGTCCACCACCAGGACCTAAGCCGACCGGTGCGAACCTGCAACTGGAGTCTTTGTTTGTGACCTCTTTAGGGACTAAATGGGACTAAGTGACCTCAGCCACTGGGATCAACCGCAAGTGCCAGATCGCAGTGGGCACTACCGGACCTCAACCGCAAGCTTTGACAGTCCTGCCAGTTCCATTGGTCCATCCTCATCTGCAGTTCTCTGAGGCTCCGCTCTGCCGTGCGATGTGGTGCACAGGCAAAATCACCTCGCCAAGGCACCGGGCGCTGTCCTGAAGAAAAAACTGGAGAAGCCATGCCAACTCGCCGTACAAAAACAGGTTATAGATGGTTTTAGATGTTTTAGTCTTATAAGTGTGTCGTTTTTGCATGAAAAAGAACAAAAACACAAACCAAAACACGGGTCTAGTTCTGGTGCTCTGCGCAGATGCTTTGGTTCACAGGCGGTTATCTTTGGTTCAGCGGCTTTGGGGCTGATGGTTCAGCAGTTCCAACATCTGAGGCGACTCAACTCTTGACTCGACAGCCTGGGTGAAACATGGATACAATATGGCAACAATACTTTCTTTTGGTTACCTCACTCTATCTCCAAGGGAAAAGTGCTGGGGAGGATAGTCGTCATTGAAATAAACAATACTGGTATAATAGCTATTGCTAGATCGTGAGAAAACGCACCCCATGGATCACCTGATGGCCGAGTCGCCGACTCCACCTCAAGGACTAAGGACCGTCTTGGCTCAGGTGGTTGGGGGACGAAACATTCAACGAGCACCTAGCGGTGAAGAACACGTCCCTCGTGTTTTTCCCGAAGGCGTAGCGAAGGGTTCTCGTTTCACGCTGGGGGTCTGGGGGTAGTAGAGCCTTGTTCGCGACTCGTTGTCTGAGCGATTCTTTGATGCGAGTCAGGTTGAATCTGTTGAACGAGCTTGGCTTCTTCAAACACATATACTAGGCTGCTTCGAACAATTGAAGGGCAAAAGCCCTATATGAGAGCTTCCAGCTGCTCATCTGACAGATGTTCTATGTTTTACATTTGAGCTGCAAAGTGGAAGCACAACGAAGGATATAAAAACCATGCACTCTACAGATTGAGGCAGGAAATCCCTGCATGTGTCAACGTTGGGTCAACATTATATATATATATATATTCCATGTGGCTATACTTGGTCTCACAATGATCCCAAATCGCGCAGCAGTCCTGTTGCCCCTGAATGATGCCTTGGAATTCAATCACAACGATCTTCGTTGACGTCAGTGACCTTAGTCCACAATCGGTTTCAGGGTCGACTTGATCACCCAAATCCTGCACCACCAAGCACCATGCACCGGAAAAAAAGGACGTTGTTGCCCATATGTGGGCCCTGCATTTATTTGACTAGTTGGTACTAAACTCAAACACACTATCTATCACTATCTATTATGTGGGGGCCTTAGACGGTCATGTCACAGTATCTCGTTCAGACTACTTTAGTAGCAAACCACACTATCTCGTTCAAACTACTTTAGTGTCATCAAACAATAGTATCTCCTTTGTGCGGGGCCCTATCTCGTTCACAAGCGAATACTGATGATAGACAAGCAAATAGAGCATGCCGTAGTAAAGCTTAAATTCAGGTTGTGTGGGGAAAGCTCGCACTCACCATACTCACCTCTCCTGCACCGATGTGAGAGCTTGGGACAGCAGAAACGAGGACAACAAGGAGTTGAAAACCAGACCGAAGGCGTTGAACACTGACACTTTCCCGAGCGATTTCGAGCGCGAGGACAAGTTCGCCGCTGTTGAACACGGGTGGGTTTTTCTTCGTCGGTGTTGGTCACCTGGGCTTTTGAACGGTCAACTAGGAATGTGGGGAATCAATGCCCAGACACGACGTGTCTGGGACTGCCAGTCCGGACTGCCGAGTTTTGCCAGGGGTGGTTGGTGCCAGGGGGTTCTGGCTGGGGTGGCAGTCCAGACTGGCAGTCCCGTGATATACCCTAGGGCTCCAACTATATCCTCAGAAGGTGGTTAGACCCCCCAAACCTACCCTAACCACCTTCTTAGGAGGTGGTTGGAGCCCTAGGGATAGTCGTGTCTGGAATGGGGAAACGGCATCCCTGACGGTCCGTGATGGAACTACCTCTCCCGAGGAATCCGCGATCGGCATTCCCTGTCTGGTTCATTGCTGCTTCACGGGATTGGCCAGAAGGAACCGGACATAACGGGGGACATAAGGATTCATATAGGGGACCAAAAAGCATGATCTGAAGCAAAACACAAGACTTACTCAGTGAGTTTCCAGGAGAAAAAAGTTCAATCTGTTTTCCCAATATCCAGAGAGAATATAGTCTATGCGCAAACAAGGTCGGACAAATTACACCTGGTTTGTCCTACTAGGTTCCTCTTGGTTCAAGGTTACAAATGAGTTCAAGTAACCTTGGATTACTTCACGGGCTGGGACACATATGGAGACCCAAACAACCCAGGCCCTATGGATCCAATGACATCCTCAATATCCCCAAAGACCTTCTCCAGAAGTGACAGTGTGTGCCTATCGGGCTGCGCTGACCCCTGAAAAGACAGATAAAAATCTGAAAAAACCAAGTAATCTAAGACAACTGCCCCTAGTTGCTAGTAGTTATTCATTCCTAGTAGTAATGCCCTTTGTTACTAGTAACGATGCTTGTGTTACTAGTACGAGTAGCTTCTTGTTCCTAGTAGCACACCCCCAAAATCTTCGGACACATCTCCAGTGCCAATAGATCTCCTCAAGATTCCCGGCAAACTCGCAGGACTCTCCCTGCAGCACACGGTGGGCCAGTTCTCCGGTCCATCAAAGACACCAAATACACCCAAATTCAGGGTACTTGGGTAGGGCCCAAACAGGAAGGGCAAAATCACCCTGGAAGACTTGACCAAATCTTCAAAATCAACACCATTGTACGTACATGCTGGATTATGGGTGTAGTGTATATTTTAATTACCCATAAATGGGACTCTCAATATATATATATATATATATCAAATTGATGCAGACTTCGATCAATTTCGGGATCTCCGAATGCTTGCCACTCCCTGTCTGTCGCTTCCTTATTCATTCTGCGCCGACGCGACCACCCCGATCATGCCTTACCACCGCCGTCGCTTCGTCGTGGCGGGGGCTTTGAAGGAGCAGCCCACGGAGGGACCCGCGAGTTGCGGTGAGACTGAGACATAGTGGGAGTATACAAAAGAAATGGTGATACACATGCAAAAGAAACCATCCATTTTTTACATAGTATAAGAAATGGTGTCCAAGATCTTCTGTGTCTTCGTTTTTACATAGTGAGGCCACTCAATCCAAAAGAACACAGAAGCGAACAAAACACTGATCAACAGCGACAACCGTACGTGAGGCGTCCGCGACGACCCGTCGCCGCGGGAAAAAGAACTGCCACTCGGCAGTGCCTGGTGAGAATGAAGCGCCCAGAGTCATCTGGATTCAGATGGACTAAGGCACTTAGCTCCTGCGATATGAGGACCGCTAAGCCAGCTGGGCGCGGCTTGCTGCGCATGGTGAGGTTGGTCTTGGAACCAGAAGAAAACACAAAGAGCTACTCGAGACCAACAGCTGCAAAATGATTGTCTTCCTAGCGCCTCCAATGGGTGTCCTGTCTGGTGACCTCTAAGCAGTGTAGGTTGGAACCAGCCAGGTCACCCCGTATCCGGAAGCAGCTGGTATACAAGGGTCCATTTTTTCCACCTTTGGGGGGTTGTTGTATCTACTCTCTATCAGAGACTCGGACATGGATAAATTTTTCGCTCTGGAAGCAGTGTACGGTGGTCCAGCCAGGTAACCCCGAACGGAAGCAGCTGGTTTGCATGTTGGATTTCCTGCTTGCTTCTTAATTGGAGTGTTGGGATGTTTGGAGATCCAACTCGCCAGACGACTGGGCCTTGAGTCGCTTGCCCCAGTCGCAACGGTCTGCGATTCTGGGCGGCCCCGTAAATGCGGCCCTTTCAGAAGGACCTTTCAGAAGGGCTTACTTCATCGGATTGGTCACTTCTTGGATTGGTTTCGATATGTTCCAGAAACAAAGCCAGTGTTCTCATTCATGGTGAGTGAGTTATATAAGCAACATGTTTCTGGGAAGGTGCTTGGGAGCGCTTGGTCTTTGCGTAGGGACCACTGTTCCCCACCGTCTCCCTGACACTGCGCTTGTGTGAAGAAACACATGGCGCGGCAATTGGGTGATTGGAGATCCGGCGGATGTGCCAAGCTCCAAGGGTCCAAGACATGATGGCACAACCAGATTCGGAGTGCATGACGGCATCACACCCAACGAGGGAGAGAGTCCTGTCCGCCCTTGGCATGGAACAAAAGGAATCCGCAATATCCAAGTGGTTCCAATGTAAGTTTTAGGGGGGTTGAGTTAACTTTTTCAGTTGACTAGCTTGGAGCCTAGGATGGCAAAAGAAACCCAGTATTCTCATCACCTGTAAAGCCCACCTTGCTAAGAGGGGGCAAGTTCAGCCTCTGCTTGGTCGCTCCAGCTGTGTCAAAGCATGTCATCCGCGCGTAGGCATCAGGCGTGCGCACGGCTAAGAAAGTACGCCGTCGACTCTTCATGTCTCATATCTGTATCCTGAAGGCGAAGGGGGAATCCCCAGGGAAAAGGACCAACCAACCAGGACTCCCAACTCGACACGGCTGTAATTAGACTCAAATTCGAAGTGAAGGTGGGGACACTCCATTCACCAGCCAACTCCCATGGATGAGACCCTTCACCAAATGTCACCGATGCCACCAGTGGCGGGAAGAGCGGGGCGGAAACAGCGGCTCCTCTCGCTCCAGCAAAGCGATGTTGCGAGCATCGTTCAGCCTTGTCGTTTGGAGCAAAGCTGGAAACAAAACACACAATGCCTTTGTCAGCCTTGTATACAACTATCACCCAGCATGATGGATGGATGGATGGATGGATGGACGGAGGAACGGATGGGGGGAGGGGCGGATGGATTGTTTGGTTGCTTGACTGATTGACTTCTCGTCAGGGCGGTTGCACTGTAGACATTCCTCTAAAGACAAAACATGTTCTACACCTGTGCCCCCAAAACATTTACTGCTGCAACTGGTGTCAAAGGTACGTTTGTGAGACTCCAATTGGTTCTGTGCTTAGCGATTTGTGCCACACACATCTTCCACTGAAGAAGCATGCTACTTTCATCTACTTTTCATGAAGTGAATGTATCCTAACAAACTAGTCCACGCTTCAACATGTTTCAATGGTCTTTTGGGCTTGCTTTGACCCACATCCACAGCCAAACCTTCTTCATTCACAGCATCTCTAATCTGCTCCACAATTTTTCCAGGTTTCCTTGGGGCTCCTTCTCATGGCCGCTCTAGGGAAGCACAGGCCGCTCTGGAATCAGATTCCCCCACTGTCGCACATGGAGAGCACTTCTCTTTAGGGCCCCGAGCACCAGTACAACATCCACAGCTTCAGCGAAGAACCATCCGCCTGGGTACGGAATAAGACAAAGCTCGGGCCCTCAAGACTTGTTGAGGAGTTGTACATGTTCGGTCCATGTTATAGTGCTTCTTTCCTGGGACTAGAAATCTAATACATGCGGCACTCATACAGCTGCAAGTATCCAGTCATGGAGAATGCCCTCTTCTGTTCCATTTGTCAGACCAACTGAAGAAAGAGCAGGCCTCGTATCCTATATCAGTGACCACACAACTACGAAGTCACAACGTGTTCGAGTACAGTACAGTCCAAATATCCGCCAGAGCCGGCTAGTGCGGGTCGCTATGTGAGATCAGGGTATTCTTCAGGTCTCTCTACCGCTGGGAGGTCAATCTGATTGTATGTTTGTGTTTCGACTCGGTTTCGACTCAATCCCGATGGGTAGACTGGTCTGTCTTCCGATCCTTCCAGGGGTCGATCTGGGAGGTCTCCCTATGTTCAACACACACACACACACCGTGTACGTTTGTGTCTACAACAAGGGAACCACTAAGGGAAGCCTTTGATACCATCTAAGCTGCGCAGCCCTGTGGGACCCTGTAGGACCCGATGGGCATGGCATCATGTTGCACTCAGAGTACCGAGTACCGCGCTGCGGAGGGTGTTTGATGCTTTCTCGAGGTCCACGCAACCAAGCGAGGAATAGACCGTATCAGGCGAGGGACCCAAAACCATGGTGGGGTGAACGATTTCCTTTGGTGCATGAATCTTGCCCCCACCTAGCAAACCATCTCATACAATCTCCTCACTCTTCTGTTGGAACAGGCGGACTGCAAATTGCATCTTACTCCACAACACCCCTAGGCACAAAGCATCTGCAATGAGCATGTGGGAGAGCCTGTCACGAGGTAGGGATGTCCATGTTCTTCCAGAGCACCATTTGTCCATGTCCATCTCTGATAGAGAGTAGATGGAACAAACCCCCAACGGTGGTTTATATGTAGCTGCTTCCAAGGGGTTACCTGGCTGGACAACCCTACACTGCTTACAGGTCACCATTGGACACCCATTGGAAGCGCTAGGTATACGATTTTATAAAACATTTCGGGGGTTGTGACATCGAACCTCTGAAATCGCTGTACAAACAACTTTCACCAAAACCTTCTCAGCCCACCCAAGAGCACCTGAAGTGATGGAAGTTGCTGCTCCCATGGCTGCAACACATCATCCAAACTACAAGTAGCTGGACGATGAAAGCGGGTGAGAAATTCTGGAAAAAAAACAGGCAGGAGATTGGCTGTCTTTACTGTTCCAAATTGCATGAGGCTAGTTAGTCGGCCTACTGGCACTTGAAAACGTCCGATTTCACAGGTTACGGAGGATGTGACAGTGAACGCATACATGCTGCAACTGAATGATCAAGTTGCTTGGCTACAAAAGCGAACCACATTCAAAGCCCGAAACGATGTTGGTGCTGCCTGACCCAAATCCTGGTGAGACACATCCAGGTCAAAAGTCTGGGAACCACGTTGGATACGCGGGAGCTGGATGGGTTTTGGACAATCCAAAAAGACCGGTGCTTTGAAGATTGTAGGAGCATGTATAGTATTAGCCGTTTTGGCCGACTCCCATCAACTACTGCCGAGTATTTGACTTCCCAAGCGCTTGGTCGGTATGTCAAACTCCAGCGATTGAAACTTTGTGAGGACCAGTAGTCAGTGCCCAAAAGAGGCCCACCCTAGTGCCCAACACTAAGGTTTGCTTCCAACTATTGAATTTTGCATATAAGTATGAAAGCAATGTAAGTAATCAATATTATACAAATCATACAACATAAAATCGATAGATTATTGTTCTTGAAGCAATGGTCCCTGCAATGATACAGAGATGTAATTTTGCATTCTTTGTGAACACATTCTTATTGGCACAGCACAATACAGCATCTCTTTTGCGTCACCGAATTCACAGTCACATTTGCCGTTGGATGCTTAGCATGCGGCATGAAACAAAGAAAGCCGCCCTCGCATTGGTGGACCAAGGATCTGAGAGCGAATAAAACAAGATAACCTCGCTCGGCCAAATCAATTCTGCGCAATGAGGCTTTGCTTAGCATCAGTGGAAATCCACAAACCCCTAGTTGGTACAGAAAGTTGAATGGTTTTGGCAATCACAGCAAACTCATCAAGAACATCCTGTTTCAACTGTTTGATTCTCGAATCTCTCTCTCTCTCTCTCACTGCCAAACCTCCGGTGTCCCAACCCTCCGGTTGTTTTGGAAACAACTTCTGACTTGGCCAAGTCAGAGGCCTTCCTCACTCCACATCGGTGAAGCTTCAAGACCTCCTGGGCGGACGAACTGGCTCAGCCCACACAAGCTCCGACTGGGCCCCTGGAGGCTCCTGCGACTTTGCGCGATGACGCGACGAGACGTCCCTGCTCGACTCGGACTTGGGGAGAATTGGCTGGGAACAGCCAGGGAGGTGCACACTGGCTTGGGGTGAGAGACCCAAAAAAAATTAACGCATCAATAAAAAAATATCCCACACGCATCAAAAAAATATTTAATGAAGCAAAAAAAATATTCCAAATAGCAGTAGCAGTAAGAGTAGCAACCGGACTAATAGCAGCAGTATCGTAGTGGTAGTCGTAGTGCTTCGTGGCAGGTGCAGTACTTTGTGGACCTTGCAATGCACATTTCGTGGCAGGTGCAGGACTTTGTGGATGTTGAAGTGCAGAATTGGTGGCCAGTGGTAGGCGCAGGACTTTATGGGCCTTGGAGTGCAGATTTCGTGGCAGGCGCAGGACCTTTTTGTGGACCTTGAAGTGCAGATTTCGTGGCAGGTGCAGGACTTTGTGGGCCTTGGAGTGCAGATTTGGTGGCAGGACCAGCGGACCAGCGGACCAGAGGACCAGAGGACCAGGGGACCAGCGGACCAGCGGACCAGGGGACCAGCGGACCAGATGACCGGCCACCCACACGACTGCGAATTCCAAGGGATTTCATCGCAAAACGAATATGTTTTTTTTGATTCAGTAAATATTTGTTTTTTGATTCGGTATTTTTTGTTTTCTTTTTGATCCGATAAATTAATATTGTTTTTTGATACCTATGCCGCATGCCACTGGCTTGGATGCTGGGATGCTGAAGTAAAGGCGTTGCATCTCAAGAAGTTCAAGACTATACGAGCCAATCTGGATGCAGACTCCTGATTCGTACAATATGCCACCCCTTGTGAAGAGCTTTTCCAAGCCGAATGGGTGTCTAGGCCCGTACCCATTTGTGCCAGATCTCTGAGAACCAACCTGTCACTGCAGCTCCCCACTCGTCTCAACTGGACGCATCGACGAATTCGACGTACTCCAATGAAGATCTGGGTGCGAACAGCGGAAACCAACTCATTTCCCTGAAGGGGATTCACATGGATTCACCCAGACCGGGGAAAAAGAACACGTCACCAGCAAGAGAATCAAAAAATCACGGAGAGTCCTTCCAGTCGTTGAGTCGTTCCATTTGGGAGATGGTTGCAGGTGCGCCAAGGGCGGTTCCAGATCCTCCGCCACCAGCTGTTCCATCAGTTGTGGTTGTCCAGGACGGCTGGACACCCAGAACTGCGCAACGCACGTCGCAGTAAGGGAGTGCTTCGGCCTCGGCGGGAGAACCGCACGACCACTGACCACTGCGATTCTAGATCCATCTGGTGTAGAGCATAAGGCAACCCCCAGGCTAGTCCAGAATAGCTATAAAACGCTACAAAGCTAGATCAGGGCCCGGGATGAGCCAACATCAGCTAAGACTCTGGACAGTCCCATCATCTACAGCTTTGGCTTAGATACATCAGCTTCTGCCCTCCAGCAAGTGCTCCTCCATCGGCACGGTCATGGTTGACGGCCGCACCGGCTGACGGCACATGGGGCAGCGCGCCACCACTGAGAGCCACTGGAGGATGCAGTGATGATGATAAAGCTGGGAACAACAAGGCAACCTTAGAGAAACTTGGTGAGATGTTCTGGTGAGTGTTTATGTCCCCAGCGGGTCCCATGCAGCTACTTAACAAAAAGTATTTTGTTTTATTTTGGGTCCTTTGGGTCTATGGTTTTAGTCGAACTGTAACCACTGGTTACCAGCTTTTTGGTGGGAACTGGATCCGGGTGTTCTTTTCTGACCTAGAAGTGGTTGAAAAAACAACCGTGGTGCTGTCCTCCACGGTTTTCAATCCGAGGGAAGAAGAAACGAGTTTTGCAACGTTTTGCAAAATCAGCTTGAGCAACTGCAAGGACGGTGAGCTGGGAGCAATCTCTTGAAGACACACGCAGCATTCATTGTGGCCCTCTCCTCCAGGGCCACAAGGAGCTGGATGAGAAAGCAGCCGCTGCAAATCAGCTTCCGGCATACCCAATCCCGCTCGAGGCGCAAATTGCCGCACATGTCGTTCTCTGCGCAGCAGCCGACTCAAGGCGAGCGCTTGATAAAGGAGCCCAGCACACACGGCCACGAGACTGAGAACGAGGAATCCGCAAAGGACTTCTTGAGCCAGGAGGTATCCAGAAAAATCCTCGGTCGACTCCGACCCGGGCTCCATCGTCGACTCCATGGGGCGCCATCCGAAAACGTCGGCCGGTGCGGGTGTGGAGCCGCTCCACGAAAGGCTGCGAGCAATTCACACATGGCAGTGCTTGGTTTGGCGACAGCCACAGTGAATTTCAGCATCTGTGATTGATTGAACAAGACTTGGACACCTATGGACACCTCTCTGTTTCCGAAGATGGCTTTGGATTTTGAGAGGGTGCATCCATCCTCTACATGAGTTCCATGCATGAAAACTCCAAATGATGGCGGAAACTGGCCACAAGCGGAGACCCTCCCAACGTGATGTTGTGCAAAAATCAGCCCAAACCATTCAGATCTACAGAACACAACAAAATGAACGGTCAATCCTGGACATCCTTCAGCTGTTTTCGTCGACCGCAGAAAGCACTTGACCTCCTTGTCCAAGAATCTTTGCCTGCCACATTGGTGTGTTTGCAAAAAGTGGTACTGGGCACAGAACTCACGTGCTTGACAGAAAAGCCTATTCATCAACAAAGGTACTGGGCACCCCAAGATGGAGGGTTGTTGGGTCGTAAAGGAATTTTGCTTGGCCACCTGCAACCTGTAGAGTTATGGAAAGACTGCTATGTTGTGGACGTCGCGTTTTTTCCACCCAAAATCTGCACATGTGGCCCTATGACATCCAGTTGATGGCGACAGAATGTGACTTGTCGAGACGGGTTCATTTGTGTTCAGTTTGAGCTGCAATCTCATGGTAGCTGGCAGCTTGACATCTCGGGATCGATGTTGGCTGGTGAAGAACATCAGCGGCCAAGGTCAGGGGTCCAACAGGTGCTGAATCCAACGACCAGGATCACAACGTTGGGTGCTGAACGGACACCCAACGACTTGCCTTACGGGTTCCATTACTGGTTCCATTCACACCATTCCGAGACCGCTTGAGACCGCGCGCAGGGTGGCCTTTTCTCTTCGGCTGACCGAAGTGGAGCACTGCTCTTTCTGGTTCGCCCCCAGTCGTCCCTGTAAACAGGCCTTGCTTCCATATATATATATATATATGTGTGAGGGCAATTGGACTCGACTGAAAAATACACCCGTTTACGGATTCCTGGAGGCCCCACTCTAGATTCTTCTTGTATTCTGTCAGACTTTGGTTCATCTTGTTTCCCCTGATAGTTTTTCCAGTTGTTCCATGTTGTTCCTTAAATGCGATAGCCTGCGCAGCAAGCCTACACCTCTGCCTCAGAATGATGAAGATCATTATATTCAATGATATATAACAACTTACATAACACTATAATGATATACTGACAGCAAGTGGCTTTCTGCTTCACCTGGTAGAACCCACATCAGCCCACCCCTTCACCCAACCACGGAGCTGCGGCCTCACCGGACCCAGATCGCACGGGAAAGCGTGCGGGTTCCGCCGCCGCCCGGTCCAACTCCCTCGGCCACCGAAAGCGTGAAGGGTGTCACCGGCGGTGTCACCACGGGTGCTTTTAGCGAAAAATCGTTCACCAGGGGTGGGGAGGTAAACAGTGAAGTACCCCTTTTCCTTGAGCCAACAGAAGCTATCGAAAGCTGGCCATGGATGCCCAGACAGCCACACAAGCTACCAACAGTAAAGACATGTGAACACCAACAAACCAATTGACTAAAAGGTACAAACAACACAAAAGCGAAGGACCGACACCGATACCCAAATTCAACCGCCATCATCAAAGGCGCACAAGAAGCCGAAAGCGACAGAAGCCACTCCTCCAAGCCAAAGCCAGTATAGTATAGAAGCCACATAGAAGCCAAAAAACCGTGGAAGCCATGAACATAGAAAACAATCACCAGCCAAAAAACTAAGCCCAGAGCCAAAAGACCACCACAAACAGCAAAGAAGCACATCTGCCTCCTCTTTACAAATATATCATCAGTATTGATCAGGATTGTAAGGTAGAGGATTAGTTATAGAAGTCATGAACCATGTTTGACAGACACACATATGTTTAAAACATCAGTTACCAAAACAGGTTTTCATACATATGAGCGGCCAAAACATCAGATCTTGCAAACAGTTTTAAACATACCCAAACACTCCATGAAACTGGCATATTTACCTACATTGGGGTGGTACCAGAAGGGTCAATGGGGCGGCATATATGGCAGTCCCATGGAGTGTCTGGGATACATATATATATATATACAAAGACAGAGTCTGCCGTTGGTGATCGTCTTGGCACATCCCAAGACTCCACAAAGTGCGGCGCTTTGAAGGCTCGTCTGTGGGCCCAGGAACTGATAAAGACCCAAGTGAAACACGCTAGACATACTGATAGCCTCTAACTTCCGACCAAATAGTAAATTCCAAGACGATCAAGCTGAGCTGCCTACCCGCGCCGAAGACCACTCGCTCTAGTATCGGAAGTGGGTATCGGTGAAGCCACACTCCAGTTCCGAAGATATGAATTATAGTATACAGTACAAATCAGTACAAATCAGTACAGCTTTCTTAGAGATTGCAAAGCACCTGACAAATTGAGCCAAAAACTTTCTTGACAAGAAACTGCCGCCAGAAAAAAACAAATAAACACACATCCCACTGCCAAGATGAACCTAGAAGTATGTCGGCCCTGATCGTTGGCGACCGTCAAGGCACTATATATATGTATATATTGCATGCGCTCCATGCGTTCTCCCGTCCGTTTCATCACCAACACGCCCCACTTCCGAAGGTCGCGGCGTCCCGGAGCGACTGGAGTGACCGGACCGTCTACGAGCGTTGATGATGTCGATCGATGAGCTGCGCCTGGGGGAGGCGAGCCGCATCCGGTTCGATCCGGGCTCACAACGGCCATCCACAAGCGACATGGAAGATGGTTTAGGGATCCGTGTAGCTTCTCAGGAAAGGTGATTGGAGGCACTGTTATGTAGGTTTGGAGGGTCCAGTCGTACCTTCTGAGAAGGTACGACTGGATCCCTAGGGATGGATACAAATGGATATGGATGTGGTTAACGGCTTATATAGTCAGATGACTGGATCTGTCACAAGCTCATGACGAAGCGACTGGAAGCTGGAACGCGGTGGAGCCCTGGACGCACCAATGGAAAGGGTTTGCAGGAACTACAACCCCCTGCGAAGGCGCTAGAGGTCCAAGGGTTACAAGTAGGGTGGAAAGAAAGTTCCGCGCCTGAACGATGCCTGTCTGACCAATCCTTTCAAGCAATCCCGTTCCTTTTTGAAAACACCAGGTCTGACCCGTGAGTTTGCAGAAACACCCAGGTCGAGTCTCATGATGCCATTTGGAACCCAACCAACTAACTCTGAAAGGAAACCCATCAGTTGTGAAACACAAATTAAGTTGTTTCTTGGTTGTTTTGAGCGTAGATTTTTATGTTGCCGGTTGCTTTTTGTATGTCACACATCACATGCCAAAGGGAGGGCCTTCTTGTACTCTGTTCATGATTCAAGAACAGCCACGAGTCCGGAGTCTGAGGACTCCCTGGACCCCTAGACACCGGTAGGTTGACCTCCCCAGAGGTCCCCGGTGACCCACAGCCATATGTTGCCCGTTTGGGCTCCAGTTGTACCTTCTAAGAAGGTGGGACTGGGGTGGGTTCAGAGGGTCCAAATACCTTCTGAGGAGGTACTTGGAGCCCTAGGGTTGGTATGATAGGTGGTCAATGTAGTTCTCTCCACGGTGACAGTTGTCTCAGTCGTCACAAGAAGGACTAAACCACCTCTGACTTCGTTTCTCTTGGTTCCACGCTCTGTCCATGTCGACATCAAGCTCATGGCACAGCTCATCCCTGGCAAGTCGGTCAAGTGAGTAAAAGCGAAAATATCAATGGTGGTTCCAACAAGATCTGTTCCTATGCTGAAGAGATTCACACAACGTCTGAGCAAGGTGGAACTCTCAATACCTACCTTCGAAGCAAAGGGATGTGATGCCACCCAAGCTTGAAATCCCGGTCATTCCTCTTCCGTTGAAAAAGCACCTTCAAACAAGAAAATAGTTTGCAGTTTCTTCTTTGATGTCTACTTATCCCTCCGCCTTCATTCTCCTGTAGTAGCAAAATGAGGTGGAACTCACCAGTGAGCTGGCTTCAGATCTTATATCCTTGAACGTGTGCATATCATATATATATATAGCATGTAAGTAGCGCACATAGGACTGCGCATTGAGTGCAAAAAAATGAAGAGCCCTTTGTGAACAACACGGGATCGTTAGGAGTTTCCTTGCCCAACAAACTCTGGAAGCTTCAAATATAACTCTATTCACATAGTCATTGTTTGATGGGTGTTCTGAGGCTTCAAACTGGTGGTGGATGTCCAAAAAAACCACTGGAAAATGATCCGGGAGCCTGAGGTAGACTTTCACCACCCCAAGCAAAGGTTGAAATACAAAAGATCTGAAACATGCTGAAATCACCACTATTGCATCGCTGTAAAAAAAATGGTCCTGTCATGCATTCCTGGCAACCGGAGACGCTTCTACCCATGGGAGGTGCCTTCGGGCTGCCCCGAGGAGCTTCTCCAGCAAGTCCAAGGTGATGGCCGTCGGATGCAACTTGTAGGATCTGCGGGGAACCCGGAGGACTGCAGTTCGTGAATCCACGGACTGCAGTTCCACAAAGCATGACCAAAGTTCTTAGTGTCAAACAAAAGCAACTACCAGAACCCACGGGAATTGGGTGGTTCACCGGTGGTGCTTTGGATTAAAGTTGGTTTGGCGTTTGTTTAAGTTGGCTACTTTGGTGTTGGCCTGTTCAATTTTCCCATGCTCTTGTTTGTTTGTTTGGTTGGTTGGTTGTTTGTTTGTTCTCTGTACTTCTCGCTCTTTGCTTGTGCGTTGCACCAAAAACCACCCTCGACTCTCGAGGTACGTCACTACAACGTTTCGACGTCACGTGAGACGTCGCGCGCGTCGGTTGTGCGTCACCGTGTCCGCAGACCGGGTGAACGGAGAACCCTGAGGTTGGAGTGTCCCAGGTTGGAACCTCTAGCATGCTGCACCAGAAACATCATGAAACATCATGAAACATCTCATGAGGCTTCTGAGAATGTTTCCGGGCATCCCGTTTCTGACACAAGAGCAAGCAGGTTCCCGCCCAAACCTGTTGTAAGCTGTTTTTATGTTGGGGGATCTTCACGTCCAAATAATTATATGTCAGTGCCTCCAAGACAAGCTGTACCTTGGATTTGCTTAAGGAACCGGAAAACAAACATATCCCAGAAGAGGATTCAACATGATTCATCCATAGGGAAGATCATGGAACAGCAAAACCAGGGTACCCTGCCACTGTGGAACCAGAACCCCCTTCACAGGTCCAGGGACGGCAACAGGCTTCAAAAGTGGCCTCAAGTCTCTCAGGAGCGCTTCTGCTTCCTTCGGCAGCTGACGGAGGGGCAGCTGACAGGATCAACACATCTCGAGCACTGACAGACCGGAACAAAGTGATTGAAGTGAAGTTCAACTAGAACCTCAGCACGTCAGTCGAAACCAAAACCAAAAGCACATCTCAGCTCTATGTTCAGAGTGTTGAATGGACAGCACTTCAAAAAGCAAGATGTGCGGCTGTCCATTGGTGACAGCGGAACGGAGAGTCCAGGTACCTACAAAGCTTGTTTCAAGTTCTTGTCCAAGTGCAGCAAAGTCCACAGGAAGAATCCCCAAAATGTTGCCTCTTGGAGCGCATGTCATCAAGAAAGACCTGGCAGTGGTAAGTTACAAAGTAGCCATTCCACCTCTGACCTAGGGTCGAAATCTAAGATGTATAAGTAGAATTGCTTGAGCGCATGGACTCCACAATGGCAGATAAAACAGGGTAAAACAACACATCTCCATCTCCATAATCTAAGAACAATCGAACAAGATATATTCCGTCCAGGATCTCCAAACACACGCTAAGCTCGGGCTTTTTTACCAAACAAAACGACCGTCCCGCATAGGTATGCACATGAATGTAGAAAAGTTGAGTGTCCGCTCCGGTCTTTCCCACGGCCCACCAGCCCACCTCCTGGGCACGAGGACGACTTTGGCTCTCGCACAAGCTGTGCAGTGCAGAGTTGTACGCAACCTGGGGCGTAGTCGAAAACGCATTTTGTTTGAGAGACACATGTGGGTAGTTGGGATTTCAAGCCCATGTGTCGTTCTGTCTGAAGGACGTGTTGGAAACATGTTCCGCTATTTAACTTCGACACAAAGCCACACAAAAACCAAACACACAACTCTAAATGGCTCATCACACAACTCTAAATGGCTGATGGCTCATGGCATACTCACACTTTTCAGGTATCGATTTCACCATGATTCACCGGCCCCCACGTGTGCACCTCTCCCCGGTCCCCGTCGACACAGCCATGACGCTGAGACGACCAGGTCGTCTATTTACCGACCAAGCGCTTGACTGCTTGACCGACCCTCTTGAGGTAGGTAGACATGCATAGAAACACCAGTCTCTTTGGTCGTGATTCTTGTGGTTGAAACATGGAGCAAGCCTGAGAGGTGGCCCAGGTATCTGACCATCTGAGCGTCAAGTGTATACTGAAGTATACCGATTTAAAACTCTCGAGAAAGTAGGAGTCAAGGATTTTTCTTATACCCAATCCAAGCAATTGTTACGACTATATTGACTTTTGGCCCTTGACATCTCCATTGTTTCCCAGACACTCCATGGGACTGGCATGTATACCGATCAGCTAGGGTGGTTGACCCGGGCTCGATGTAGGCATACGGCATAAATATATAGTAATATACCAGCACCCTCCTGGCCAGGCTGTTAGTTGAGGGTTGGACCCTAACAGGTCTCAATTGGTGACTTGTAGAGTCGGGTCCTGGTATATATATATATATAAGATTCCAGTCCCATGGAGTGTCTAGGACCCTGACTCTACAACCAACTGAGACCCGAAATCGGACCCAATCCATTTTGGAGTGTCCGGGTTTGTCCTTTTTTCGTTGAGAACTGTGAGAAGCTCGTGAGTCATCTAAAGAGTCCGCGGGAGTCTAAGTCGGCGGCAATATCGAAGAGCATGGCATTGTGCATGCGCTGCAACCATCGCAAAGCTCCATCTGCATATCCCTGCCTGCCAAGCCGCAGTGCTTGGAACCAACCCAAACACTCCATTGTTTCAGGTGTCTCTAGTAAATATTCCATACATGGAGTGTCTGGGCAATGGACCTTGATTTCCAGGTCTTCACCAGCCATGCTTCCCGAACATGTTTGTCATAATCATAGCTTTGGCCCAGGCCCAAGTCCGCGGCCAACATCCTTTCGTTGCTACGTTGCTACGAACAGTGGTGCATTGATACCCAAACCCTCCATGTATGCCACATAATGCCTACATTGACCCTCCAAACCACCCCAATGCAGGCATATCATGGGATGTATTCCATACATGGAGTGTCTAGGATCTATTCTAACTATCTGTGTAACTGTGTACATATGTACTGTATATAATATTGTACATTTATTATATAATGCATAATACATATATAAATATTATCTCTATATATATAATTGCTAGTACTATATAGTATTATATTATTATATAACTATATCTTTGGTCTCCAAGTATTTCGAGGTCACCCTTGAGGGACCCATGGATTCTCACCTTCTTTCTCGCCCTGATTCGCCAAGAAAGGTCACGGGGTTAAGACGAAAAACAAGTTCAACCATATTTAAAAGACCCTTCTGTGCCTGGCGTTGGCGCTGATCAGCACATTGTAGCAAACCTGGCATTGGCGCTCCCAGGCGACATGTCTTCGACTTTGTCTGCTCAAGAGTCAATTCACCAGATCAGCCACTGGGATCAATTGTCCCAAGTCAAGATTGAAAACACACAAATTACTGATTATAGTGAACCACCAATCAGTGAGAGAACTTCTCTCAATGTGCTGATTCTAGTTCTATGAACAACTATAGGAGCCTGTCACATGAAATGATCTGAAGTTCAGTCCAGTCATAAAGTCCTCAAAGTTGGCATGGAAAGTTTGGGCTCACTATGGTACAAGTAAAAGATTCTTGGTGAAGCACCCACGTCTATCCTGAATTGACTTGAATTAACCCATGTTGACCCTGTGTTCTTTCAACCTAAATCATGCTATCCCTCACTGTTGAGCAGTGGCCAAGTCTGTGAAAGCCACTCCCCTGTCGGACAGTCTAGCGACAAGGCTGGGTGTGACAAAGAGCCGGTGGTGCACCGATTGCTCACTCAGGTCACCAATCCTATGGTCTTTGCTTGAGGTGTAACTTATCCAAATCCTATTGTCACTTCGCCAATCCTATTGTTTTTGCAAAGTCTTCTTCCAAAAACGGTGTCACTTCTCTTTGGTCACCCAAATTCCACCGATACCCCACACGTTGATCGAACTAAGGGGCGGTTCCCGGCGAACCGGTTCGCACACCAACTGAGGTCTCGACGCTGTTGGGGCGGATGGACTCTTTGGAAATCTGATTGAACCACCTGGATGGCCGGATGGGTGGCCACATGGCCGAAGACGACATCGTGGACGGTCCAAGATGTCGCGAGAGAGTAGGCCCTCCAGCACGAAACGACATGGGAGCGGCTGGCGGAGATGAGGGACTCTGGGATTTGCGTCAGGAACTAGACAAAACTTGAATAACTTCTCCGGCGGAGGATTCATCCATAGACAAACTAAGACTCTGACTCACCTAAAACATCGCTTGGCGGTGTGAAGGGCCTTCAAAGAAAGATAGCGGGTGTTGGTAGGGAGGTAACATTTGCATTGAACATGCTTAACAGCACTGCCTTTTAGCATTGTATGTATATATATATATTATATGAATTATATGAATGTTTGTAGTAGGCTCAAACTCAAACACACTGTAAAACGCACATGTTGCCGGAAATAACCTGGAATCAACAGGAATTTATGTTAAAGGATGGTTTTCCAGGGAATTCGGGAATCAACAGGAATTTAAAGGGACATTAAGATTAGGATGTTCAAAATAAACATATCGCAAAATGAACAGCATAGACAGCGACACTATTGCTGGGAATGGTAATGATGCTAATGATAACTACCAAAGCAAACAGTGCAGTGCAAACAATATTTAAGATTGTAATATTGTTTAAACATGGAAAAACGTTGACAATAATCCAGGGGGTGCATCATCAAAGCAAACAAGTGCTAACGTCAATGTCGGGGGTCACATTGTCCAAGGTTTCTAGCCCCTTTGTGGAATATATGTTGGGAAAAAGCTGAAACGAGGTCAATAGGAATCAAACGGGCTTAGAAAGGACATCAACTGGAATCAAAAGGCAGCCAAAAGCAAATCAACTGAAATTAAGAGGACACTAAAAGGATATCGACTGGCAATCAACAGGAATAAAAAGGAATTCAAAAGAATCCGTTGGAATGAAAGGGAAGTTGACCAGAAAAACTAATTGAACATTAACAATGAAAAGGTCGTTATTGGTTTCTAAAGGGAATCAAAAATAATCAACATATATATATTGTTTTAAAATATATATATATGTGGAATTATATGAAAGGGATTGAAAGGGCCATGGACCATAAATAGGAATACATCGGAATTTAAAGTTGAGACTTCCAAGACTTAGGCTAAATCGGTCTGATCCCAAACCTGGGCTAGAGCTCTCCATGGAGTGCAGGTCCGTGCCGGCCTAGCCTGACACCCCAAAACGCTTAAAGATCAAAAAAGAAAGCAGAAGGCAATGTTCAAGGATCTTGGGGGGGACCTTCCAAGAATATCAGAAAAAAAACACAAAACATTGAACACACATACACAAACACAATTCCAGAATCAGAAGTTTCTGGGGCAGCAAAGAATCTCAGAATATGTGTTTCGAGCTATTTGCTTTCCTGGTATTGTGTGCCGTTTTTATTAACTGATAACGTTTTTCGCTTTTGTGGATTGTTTTGTTTCTTCCAATGGGAGGTAGACACTGGTGATGCCAGATTTGCATTGTCTTGTACATATTGCAGATGTTTGAAGCGGGCAGCAAATGCAAGTGATGAAAAATATGTGTCTTACTAGGGGTTTGGTGCATGGATACTGTAATCTACAATGTATAATGCACATTACCAAGGAACATGTACATCCCTAGGAGCGCCCTTCTGTAAAGAAACATGGCAAGCCCTTGCCATCCACTTCCAGTGATGTGTTTGGAGAGCCATGAACGAAACTGAGGAGGGATCTCTATGCTGGGCCATGCTGGGTTGAGTTCTAGGAATGATGTTGGAAATATGCATACACATGCATCATCTGTATCTCCTCCCTTTCAGTGGCATGACAGTCGGGTTTTCCGTGAACAGAGGTCGGCGCCGATCCGGGTTTGAGGTCGGCCGATCACCATCCGACCCTCCAAATTCTCCTTAACACATGTTTTACTTTTTCACACCTTCAGGCGTGATGAACAGACATGACAAGAACTTTTGGCAGGGCTCATACCTGAAAAAATCCATCCGAATTTGGGTCTTGTTGTCTTACAAGGGTCTGAAATGTACAACACCTGCTGGTCTCCTGCTGATTACAAGGTATCCTGCTGGTCAATTCATTCAATACATGCCTCAGCTCGCCTTGGAATCCTGCTGGTCGCTGTGTCTCGGTTGATTCGCGGAATCCACACGGAACCGGAGCCGAACTCACCTCTCCGCATGCCGCAGCTCGCCAGCCTGAACCGGCACTGCCAGGGCACGGAGCGTCGCGACGGATGTCCCGGAGCTGTGCGTGTTTCGGAGCCCATGTGTCGTTGGCGACTTCGACTTGGAGCTGCGACGTGGTCATAGGATGTCATAGGGAGAGCTCGGATGAAGAGGAGCGCCTTCTCCCCGGCTCGAGTAAACTGCCAGGACAGAATTTTCAAAGATCAGAGTTTGAAAGACCGTAAACATCTCATACCATTTGCATAATCGGAGTAACACCTTGCTGAAAGTCACACGGCCGTGGCTGAGTGGAAAGGCATTACAGAGAGGTTGCCCGGACTCCGAAAAGTCACCCGTTCCGCTTGATTTTACAACACCATGGAAACCCGGTACAGATGCATGTTTTCGGTAAGTGTTGTAATATATATGTTGTGATTGCACATTGTACATCAAGAACTTACCAGGCACACAAAAATCAAGATGTATGTCGAAGTTTGTAGCTCTGGGGGGGACTGAAACCCGATGAGAACGCAGTGTGTTTCTTTTTGTTCCGTGTCATGCGGATTGCATCCGGGGACACGTGGCGCCTCACTGGCACGTGGCTGCGCGCGAGTCCCCGGTACCCACCCAGTCGCCACGTTGGAGAAGTCCTGATTCCTTATATAAACCTATTGTACAAAACTGTGCATCCAAACGACTTTCTACACCAAATGAGTTTGCTCAAGTTATGTCATGTGATAGACTGATAGACTTAAGCCAAGTACCGGTATGTTATGTTACATCGTTATATAGATCACTGTCCATCTCCATGATATTTCCCTCAGCCCTTTTCCATCCTTTTCGGGGACACCATCCTCAGCTCTCGGGCCCAGCCCGTTTCCGAAGTCCCGTTGGCTCGGCTTCTCCTGCCTTGCCACAACTGTCGATCACAGCAGCGTAGCTGTTGGCCGTTGGTTTGATCTCCTCCATCGTGCCGGTTGGGCGCAATCCAGCCATCCATCGTGTTGGCTGCCATCCGGTCGGTCAGACAAAAAATAACCGACATCGCCCTGATAAAGGGTGGACTAAAGGGTGAAGGGTGGTAAACCTTAAACTATATCCATTTCTACAACAAAAATGAAAGACCTATAGGTCATTTCTCGATATTTGGTTCTTTTCGGCCTGTGTAAGATTGAGCCTCAAGGCATCTCAAGGCCTCAGATCTCACAGAGAGTATTCATGGATATGCACACTTCTATGCACACTTCGAAAAGAGCTCGCACTTCTGGTTGTCCAGCCAGGCTGGACTGGACCATGTGAAGATCATTGAACATCTCTTCTCACCTTCAAAATGGCTGGAAGTACTCAACACGCGCCACCCCAATCGGTTCCGTCCCCGACGACTTTCGTCCGACCGAAACAACCAGGGCCCCCCAGCAGACTTGCGCATTTCACCTGGGCATTTCTGACGTTCTCACGACCGACCGACGGGTCAGGGTCTATGGGTCCGGGATGGAAGGTCCTTGGCGACCAATGGGCGACCAATGGGACTTTCTGAACTACAAGCATCTACGATTTTTTTTGTTCAACACATCCTCCCTGCATGCTGTGTTTGGGTCCCAACGGTCCACTCCTTTCGGTCGTTCTTTGTGGGGTCAGACCCGGTCCACTTTGTCGAGCACAGACTTCACACCAGACTTGAGCCGTGAAGTAGCAAGAATGCGACGTTCGTAGCGATGCCACGAACGAACTGTAGCGTCCGATCGCTCCGTTCGCTCCGCAATGCCCTTTGTTCGGTTCGGCGTCCTCTGTCTCCCTTAGCAAGCAGCGGTCGCTGCTGATTGAGTCAACTCTTAGGTTCCGTCTTCCCAGAAAAACCCGGTTCTGCTGAGGGACCCGGCTGAACAGTTGTACCGCCTTCTGCCACTTGTTCATCTTTTTGGCATAGCCGTTGAGCACAGCTGGAAGCAGCGAGTGTTCTTGGAATCATGGAAGCCATCGGGCAGGGCATCAGCACCAGATGCGGAGGATTATAAATATTATAATGTCAAAACATGTCAACAACAAACTTGTAGCTGCCAAATCCCGAACTTGCATGGCAGGAAGCAGCATACAGGTCTATTCCTGCGAATTGAATCAACACGCAGGACAGCTGAGGTTTGGCGGCATGGAAAGCGAACCCCTTGACATGCCTGGGCCTGTGTCCTTGCCTCAACCCTATGATACTAACACACCAAGGTTTTTGAGGGTACAAAGCCCCTGCTATGGAGGATTCTTAGGGCAGCTGATGTTTGATGACATATGACATGTCGTTCTGGGCAGCTGTCGACTTGCGGCGAATCGGATTTCGTGGGCGAAGTCTGCCTGCTTGAGGCGTGTTGCCCACGTTGCCAGCCCGAATGAACCGAAGGACCACTCCGGTCCCGGATGTGGAGAGCCGAGAGCCCATGGGAGCTCTGTGGGTTTCGGACATCGACGTGACACGCCTGGTTTCGGTGAAAACATGAGTGAAACGCTGGCGGATCAACGTATCCGCTTGAGATCAAAGCGAGGTTTGTTTGGGGGTGGCTCACATGGCTTCAAGCTGTCGTGATTTGGCCATGATGTGGTTCTAAACTCTGGCCTACGATGGCTATTTCAAGTAAGCCCTACGAAGATCTAGCAAAACCATTGTATGTAGCTGAACATTCCCCCTTTCGATGATCTGATCCGGAGTTCTTCGCCATGTAACTACCACATTTCATCATATTTCACTCAAGTACGGACTTGATTCAAAACCCCAACAACCAAAAACCTCCCGATCCTATCGACACCAAGCGCATCAAAGCGCGTTAGACGCATCATGGCAGACGAGGTTTTGGACTTCGGTCAGAACCCACAGCGCCGCACATCACTGTGGTTGTTCCCTCTCTCTCTCTCTACCTGTGGTCGGCAATTGCACAAATGAACCCAACATATCTCTATGGACCTGTTTAAATGTTTAAAACGGCCCCCCCAAAAAAAGAATTCACCTGGTGTCTTGGAGCATTAAATAAATAAACATAAGTAATTTAATTCATCAATAATATAAGACATATATGTCTATGATTGTCTATGATCATACATGATCATACACCCCTTCGTCTCTATGAATCTCTATGTATGTTTAATGTTTATGTCATAATAAATCAAGACCATCCAATATCTTATCTATAGATCCTCCGTGCCAGCATGAATCATGCATCCCTTCCATATCTCCATAAAGGTCATATTATGTCATATCCATATCATGCGTCATATCCATATCATGCAAAGACCGGCCGTTAAAACACGGATTGGGATGCCATTTTTCACACCGTTGGACACCATCGTTGCTTCGGTCGACCTTGATAGGCGAAAGCGTTGGGCTGCAGCTGGTCCTCTGCCATGGCCTCGCTGCGCTACTGCTGCGAGCGCATCGGCGTGGCTCTTCGGTGAAGTGCTTGGCTGGCCCAAAGGAGAGGAAGATCCGTTCACGGTGTTTTTTTTGTGACATGCAAATGCTGAGGAATGGTCTATACCAGGACCCTCCAAGGGGTGCCCTGTCTGGAAGCCTAGTGCGGTAGTGTGGGGTAGTCCAGCCAGGACACCCCTTTGAGGGTCCAGGTATATAATTTAAGTCATAGATAGATCGATATCTTTTCATGCTGTTTATTCCATCCGTCCGCCGTCGTGGCGCAACCTGTTTGCCTATATCATCATAGATAGATCATCTATCTATACCGTCTATAAAAACTGATCATCCATACATCAGCCCCCACAGTGGATCCGGAAGCAGGATTAGAAATTCATCATTTAACACTAAGTGATGACACGCAGCGAAAGGGTCACTTGGCTGACACTGACTGGCTGGGACACTCAAGCAATTCGACATAGTGCAAACACCAGTGACCAACTAAGCCACGAAGAAACGTCCTGAAAAAGACCGCAAGAAGAAGAAGTGCGTCCTTTGATTCAGGGATCATGAGGCAAACAAACGCACCACCACAGAAAGCAAAATAGGGATGCCATGATTCCCCCCAAAGTCACCCAGTCACCACTCTTGGCACCTGCAGAAAGCGGGCGGCACCATCATCGACTCCCCTCCTGTCCAAAGGGGTGAATGCGACTCCGCTCGTCTGTCGTGTCTTGGTGTGGTCATGTCAATGAATCTCCCGCTGAACCGGACAGAAGCAGCAAGGCCTCCGTGTTCCGAACCGAGAATGTTCATCAAACGCCGTGTTGAGGCCTTTTTTCCTCAGTATTTCACGGTTTTGGATACGTAAGACATCCATAAGATCCGTGTCTTTCTGCCCTCAGAACTTCTTTCTCATCGAAGCAACTCATCGACAGGTCGAAGTGAGTCCATGCATTCCCAGTCTGCAAGGTTTCCATCTGGCACTATGTATGGATAGGCTGGCCTATACATTGACCCCAGGTCAAGCACTCCAATGTATCTTTGCATATGCCAGTCCGGACTGTCTGTGTCCGTGTCTGGGATATGGTTCAATGGGCCCGCAAGACTTGAGCCAATCTGATACTCATAGACTTGGGACAATCTGATGCAAATCCCGACATGACTTGTTCGTCGGAAACGAGTGCACGACCACGACGAGACGAGGAGATCAACGAAGCTCGAATGGGATCCGTTTTCGTACCGAACGTCAGGTACGCGTGAGGAAGGAGACAGTTATGTAGGTGCCAGGAGAGTCTAGTCGTAACGACAGTCGTACCCTAAGGTTGGAATGAACCACTCAGAAACACGGGGCCCCACTGGTACGAGTACTACCGCGAGTGTGGCAACCACGATGCAACCCAATTCCCTGCTTAGGAAGACCTGATGGGACAGATTGGCATATCAGGAATATGAGATGGGGTGAGTCTATTTCATTACCAGTAATCCGTACAATGGATGATGGTTAGGTTATATATGCCATTTACTCTGTCTATTAGATAGGACATGCCCAGCAGATCAGATGGGGCTCTCCACGGCCCACATGGGTCGAACAAGTCTCCGCGACTCGCGCGAACGAAAACCCTCGAACGCGCGCGCACGAACGATCACCAAAAGGGCACAGACCTACTAGGACCCGGTCCACCTGGGGTACACTAGGATAGTCGAACGTTCGGGTTCTTCAACCTCTGGTCGTTCAACGTCTGCTGGTCCTGGCCAGTTCATAAATCACATAGGAATAGGAGATCTCCAACTCAGAGACCTCGCACGATAGCGAGGTGTGGCGGTGTGGCGGAAGCGTGGCGAGAGAGCGAACGCGAGGGAAGCGAGGAAGCGGGGGAACCCGGGTTCCCTCGCGCACGGCCGAGGAGGATCCGAATCTGGGGTGAGGTCCACCCCCTAGGGATCCAAGTACCTTCTGAGAAAGGTACTTGGACCCTCCAAACCTACATAGCGGTGAATCACCTGCTGAGAAGGTATACTTGGATCCCTAAGGACCTGAAAACTGCAGGTCCAAGTCTTTTTGGGATCGAGAACGAGCCGTATAAGGTTGAGTATATTGGCGTTGACTGGAGCTTCAAATCGAATACGAGCGACCGAAAACTGCCCGAATGGTGCCGGAAAGAAACCACATCTCAGGCACCTCCAGCCTGTTCGGAATAGTAAGTGGATCATCGAACAGCTGCAAACCCACGGCTGAGATGGGGAAGCTATAGGAAGGTGATGGAAGATGGCATGTTCACAAAGGAGCTGTGGTCAAAACACCATGGAAATTCCTGCTTGCCCAAAGAGCTTCGAACATTTCAATTGGTGGTGTGGGGCAGAGTATGTACAGTGGTTTCAGAATATATAGATGGCACATGATGGCACAATCTCCCAAAGGTGGCCCGATCTAGTGTAGACCCCCATCTAAATGACGGGGTGCCAGTGCTATCTACTTCAAAACCACTGTACTTAGTACTTGATGGTGAAACCAACAAGAAACCCAACAGGGTGGGTGGACTTCTTGAACCCTTGAATTGGACTTCCTGGTTCCGACTCCGGCTGCCCCACTGGAAAGATCGATTCTCTGTGATGTTTTGCCAAAGTGCAGAGTGGCTTTTGATGGTTTCAGAAGATTCTGAGTGTATCTGATCTGTCAGAACGCAGGCGCAAGCACTTGTGGCAACAAACGCCAACAAAAATGGATTGATGGTTATTCTAAAAGCAATACGACACGACATGAAACACAACATGAAACCAACAAGTGAAAAATACGAGCCGGCTGCTTAGATTAAACATCATATAATATATATGATACACATGAGTTGATGCAGAATTTAGTTTTGAACACAAAAGTCCTTGGCATCAGATGAACCAGACCTCGCACGAACGTCTGGGCACCCGAACTCGCACGAAGCGAGCAGCCCGAGAGCTGAAACGCCGAAGCATCGCGGCATCCGGACATGGATCTGGGAGAGGATCCAACAGCTTTCTAGAAACAACTGTTTGAAACGGGATCCAACAGCTTTCATGTGAATTCTGAAAGTTCTGGCCTTGTTGTTTTGCGCAAAAAATTAAACTCCCAACACTGGCTTCCAGGTTACTAGTATCCAGGGGAGACTCGCGGGAGTCTTGTGGGGTTCATATTTGTGATCACCAGACATTGAGAAAGCATCCAATGAAGCAATGAAGCGGTATCTTTTGCTTCATCTCTGAAGAAAGGGACCATGAGGAATGTATTAAACAACATTGTCCGCTCGCCTCTCACAGAGGTTTTGCATGTTCATCTAAGTCTGAAACCATGTTCAATGTGGGTGTGTAGCTCAAATAGGGAGACCTCCTAGTTCGACCCTCGAAGAAGGGAAATAGACCAGTCTACCCATTGGTTGGGGTCTCCCTAATTCACACGCATGTCCACTAATTGCGTTGTAGGGGTATGGCCCCATCCTCTTCGTTGTGCACTTTGGTCATAGACTGCTTCGATAAACGCCCCTTCTGTGATTCTTTTCGGGGCGAACCCTTGTAAATCAACAAGCTCAGCGAAGCTAGAGCCAATCAAAGCAGAAACGATCAGCATGGTGCCCCTCCTGTGTGTGCTCGAGCATCGGACCTGGTCAACCCTCCAAGATCGGTGTGAAACTTCGCAGGTGACCACATTTGCCCAGTTTCACCACCTGCGAGGAGGTCTTTTCAAGATCTATAGTCTATAATATGTTATTTTCTAAGCTGTATAGACATTTATAATCTTATAGTCTATGTTATTTTCTTTTCTTTTCTATTCGATGTTTATTCAAGCTGTACTAAGTCCCAGAGACGACGTTGCACTTTGGAAAAAGCAAAACAACTTGTTGCACTTCTTGATGTTCTTGATGTTGCATGATCTTGAATTCAACTGCAGCCATGTTCGAATTGGGGTGTTTTCGTCCACCTGGACCCACATTACATAGAAACTGACACCTCAGTTTTCTTCAATCACATTAATATCAAGTTTAACCCATGATCACAAGGTCAAATAAAGGTTCGCCACTTAGAATGTAGCGAAATACATCCAAAACAGTTAAAAAAGAGGCCGGGTCACTTCCTGCTTCAGCGCACACGAATATATTATCGTCCAATCCAATATCTGGACCACCGGTGTCTCCTTAACTGGCCCATGGGCCTGTGGACCCATGAATGAACAACAAACCAGTCCCTGCACTGCAACCCTTGCGCTCCAGCCCCTGCAGCCCTGCAGTGTCCCGCGCTTTCCGACTCTCAATGCAGCATAGCGAAGAGTGATGCTGGCAAGAGCGAAGAGTCGTCGACCAGATTTGAAGACTGGAATTGATGCGATCATTTTGAGGTATTTTGTGTCGAGTGCTGGAGGTGCTTTCAAAGATGTTCACTCTTCACTTCTGGTAGCTATCCATCCGCCGATCCTGCACCCGCGATGTTTTCTTGCTCACGCTCTGACGTGGGTGAGTGAGGCGTGTTGGGTAGATACATATATATATATAACTATATATATAGATCTTTATAACATATCTGTTGGCACATGATTTGCATGGAACCTGAACATGGACCTTTGGAAGACTCATTTCCTCTAGAAACATAGTGGTTTTCAGGTTCCATGTTAATCTTCCAGGGCGTATCTTGGGGCGTTTTGGAAGCAGTTTGTCAACACACCTCAACAGTTCTCACTCTGCAAATTCCATGAGAACTTGGAGAGCAGGGATACTGGCGAACAAAGGGAGCGAACTCCAAAGCTCTCCATACTCTCCTCTCCACCAAAACCAAAGCATTACGATGCATTACGGTCTTTTCAGGATCCAAACAAGAACTCCTTCCCTGACTCGCCGTTTCCCACATCAACGTTCACCTCTTTCCGCGACATGGTCGTCTTGAGTGCGGAAGCCAAAGCCAACTTCACCCAACCTGCCCGACCGACGGACCGACGGTGACACCGTCTTCGGTGATCCACGTCGGCTCCGTGGCGGTGCTCCGCTCCGTCCTCCATGGAGTCCACCCGGTGGGGGATGCCATGACGCGCAAACTCGTCGTTCCACATCCTGGCCGCGGCGCCCGGTGTTCCACGCGAGGACCCGATGTTGCCGCTTTCGGACCGTCCAGGAGGGGTTTTCAAGTGACGGACCCATCACTTGGGCCACTTGGGGTACCTGTAGGGTACCTAGGGTTCTTGCAACCCCTGCAGATGGTGGCATACCGTGGAACGACACGGCGTGAGGCGACCGACCCGACTCTGCTAGGTACCCAGCAAACAAGTCGTCTCCAGCCATCAGCCACCCAAAGCAAAGCTGGTAACTGTCGTGAGGTGCAGACAATGCTGTGTGTTGTTTGATGTTTTTTTGCAGACAATGCTGCGGAGCACGAGCGACCGGATTCTTTTTTGTGAGCACGACGAAGTCAATCGATGTCTGGGCTTTGCGCCTGAAAGACCCTCCAAATAAGATTACTGGGGGGGTGGGAGGACTTTGTCCGGTGATATTCTTCAAGATTCTTCAAGCTTCGGATGGGGACCATGCAGAACTGTGCCTGGCAGTCTCTTCTGCCACTTCTTCCTGACGGGGATGACGAGATGACGGCCGGCGATCACACAATTTGGAAGCGAAGAATGGGACCGAACAGTCCGGTGCGGTGGAAGAAACGAACTATATACTTCTGTGATCTTCCGTGCAGCAAATTTGGGTCCGGTCAAACATAGTTTTTAAATGTCCTTTAAATATCTTTAACTCCTTTTACCACTAGGAGTTTGCTTGAGGGTCCAGTCAATTTTTGGCGCTTTGCACTCAACTCAGCGCTTGCTTGAGGGGCCTGGAAGGGCTGACGTGAACGTTGCCTGACGTGAACGTGCACCTGAAACACTTCTCACATCAAGGCGTCAAACATGGGGATGGGTCGTTCGAGCACTGGTCCACCTGGTCAACCTGCTCGGTAAGCGCTCAACCGGAACGTCAAACCATGTGCCCGGCTCGATCCGACCGGATCCGACCGGATCCGACGGATCCGATGGCCGGTGCGGATCGCGGGATGGCGGAGTCGGCTGCCGCCTTCGCAAGACTCGGAGTGGCCCGAGATTGACCAGAAAACACTGGAACCATAGGGGACTGCCATAGGGGACTGCCATAGGGGACTGCCATAGGGGACTGCATACACGACGTGTCTGGGACTGCCAGTTCGGACTGCCGCCCCAGACAGACCCCCCTGGCACCATCCCAATGGGGCGGCAGTCCGAACTGGCAGTCCCATTTTTTGGGCGGCGTTTGGGATACACTCCTTGAAACGAAAAAATGGAACACGGCCCTAAAGACTCGGACCATTCTCCAAATACCAAACACGTGGTGTTCACTCTACCTAACATCATGTATGCAGGTTCTCATTAACTCTGATTGGTGTCTCTTCCAACATCTGCTCGGTATGTTGAAGAAGTGCCGCAGCAAATCGAGATTCGACTGTGTTGAAGAAGGTGCCCTTCTTCAATCTTCAATCTACAAAGACTGTTCCATCATCAACAGCCTTGAGACTTTGTTTCCAAGTGTTTGAACAAATGAGGCATACATTCGTGCGACTCTCAGCTCAAGCTGACACGGACCATCCAGTGGGTTGTCCCAGCTCTTACAGAATAGGATTGAATCACTCCAATTCTACCCTCGCTCTGAAAATTCGAAGTGGGAACCGAGGGCCCGAACCACCTGGAAAATGATGCGCTTCTACAACGAAGGTGGTGGTTGTCCACTTCCATCTTTGTTGAAGAAGTTGGCCTTTCTCAACTGATCTGCCGGATCCTTTGGTCCGGCTACTAAGCCCCCCTTCGTATCATTTCATATCATCTGTTCGAGGTGGTCGGGTCCAAGATTTCGGAGTCGACATTCGCCCCCAGCTTTTCAGCCAAAGTGGTCGCTCCCAAGCAATGTCCTCTGTCATCATCTGTCGACGTTGGCGCTCTCTTTGAGATTGCTCATCAGATCTGGCCTGCGAAATGCGATTGAAAAAGAACACGCTTCGACGCGTTGTCCTGGCTCATTTGCCAAACAGGGAAATCATAAATGAAATCATCCATCCTCTGCTCAAGTCTTCCTTCCGCACAGTGTGGCTGGGCATGGATCTCAACTGAAACCAAAGGCAACCAAAGTTCAAAGGGGATTTGTGGCAGCTGCACAAGTGAAAGCATGTACATGTCAGAGCGTGTCTTGAACAAATGTTTCGAAAAAATAGCAAATCACTCACACTCTCAGCCGCACATTAGCACATCGGGTCCCTGCTGCGCAGCTGGGTGGCATGCCACACACGTCCGCGTTTTGTGCCCCACCCAATGGTGGAAGAAAAACCCACCTGGTCGGTATGGAATTTCTCCAGCAGCTGCGGTGGCCTTGCGAAGTAACGTCAAAATGAGGTGGGAGGGTAGCACTAGCAGCAACAATGACAACAGCAACAATATGAAGAGGAAGAATAATAATAACAATAACAAGAACAACGACAACAACAAGGACAAGAACAAAAAACAATAACAAGAACAGTAAGAACAGCAAGAACAATCATCAACATATGTTACAAGACGGGAACACAAAGAACAAAGGAACAAAACTGGCTGTGGTGGACACTTGATGGATGCAATAGGAACCCTATGATACTGATTATCATCCCATCTTTAATCTTTGCAAAAAAACGGTTGTTTTGGAGTCATCATGATTCTGTCAAAGGCTTACATCGTTGAGTCACGTCCTAACGTTTTGGGTTCAAAAAGACAAGGCCAGCGCAGTCAGAACCGCCGGTAGACACCAGTCACACCATTGAAAACACTTTAGACAGATGTGAAACAAACTGGGTGGATGATCGAAACCTCGATCATGGCAGTCCAGCCATGACAATCACCTGTTTTTCCTCTCAGTCTTGTTTGCTTGATTGTTTGTTCGTTGATTTGCTGGTTCGTTCCTGGGCTTGTTCGCTTGTCGTTCGTTGGTTGTTGCTTGTTTTAAGGAAAACACAACAATTTCTCCTAGAAC